AAAAAGCGCTTTTTTTTTGCAAGAAAGATCGATTGATTTCACCACGGCTCGTGTACATCCTAAGTTTATTTTTATGTCAGGTTGTAGACTAAAATGTGGTCTTTAACGCTGTATACGTGGATAAAAAAAGTTAGGATTTTTTTGGGAGAAAATCGAGGTTAAATATCGACTTTTTGACGAAAAATTGATTCTTACTCCAGTTACCCTGCACGAATACTTTTCTCAAGAGAGCTGAAATTTATATGGTAGTTAGATATCATTGAGATGTATTCATGTTGAAAATTTCAGGTCTCTGTCATTCTCTGATCTGGAGATACCAGCAGCCAAAGTTGATCAAAAAGTGATTTTTCCTCATATTGTGGAATCCATAGAGTATCAACTACTCCATCGTTTGAACTGAAGTTTACGGTACATCTAGAACTTAAGTAGGTATTAATCTACAAAAAGTTTCAGTTCAAACGGTAGATGTTTTGTTGATTTTCTCCGATGTCCAAAATCGTCCCTCGTGAAAGTGAGCTTTATAGTGATTTTATAGTGCTTCCAGTAAAAATGAGATAAAAAACTAAGGATTCAATATTTTTTGAATCTAATTTCACCAAAATTCATCAAGCACTTGCCTCTATCACATATGTTGAAAAGAGCTAAATCAGAGAATATCGATTGAGCACTTTCGGTCGTGGCTTACGTGGAATGGCTCATACGACATAGATATTTAAAACCATTTTAGTTTTATCTATTAAACGATACATTAACGCTAGACAGTGATGAAATAATAATAAAAATGACATCATCTTTTTTATTAACTTTGAAAAAAACTTTAAGAACTTCTTTCCATTGTATGTATTTAATAAATCTGCCATCATCATCATTCCTCTACATTTTGTTATTCGGTCTTTATATTAAATAATTTTGTCATGAAAAAAATCTTTACACGATTGTGATAGAGCATTATTCAAATAGTTGTTATCATACATAGAAAACGAAAGAAAAAGAAGAAGATAAGAGTTATAAAGTATAGATATATAAAAAAAATAAGATACTATTGTCACACAATATTTTTATTTCTTATTTATAGTTAATTAAGATATTTGTGAACAAGCAATAGATATTCTATTTGATAATTAAATAATTCCGTAAAAAAATATGAAAATAATTGTAATTTTGATCATTACATTGATAATAACATCAGTTAATGCAGCACAACAAAATCCATCGAATGTCCTTTATGGTTTATTTTCTGATTCTGATGAAACTCATGTTTATTATGGATTACTCGATTTGAATACTTCACAATTTGATATATTTAGTTCATTAAATATCAATGATGTTGGAAATCCTAAAAATCTAAAATATTCTGTTGTACCATTAACATATGATCCAAATAATGATCTTGTTTATATGGCAGCACCAGATAATAATAGAAAAACAATATTAAGTGTTATTAATGCAACAACTGGCAATCTTTTATCAACATTTAAAACAATTTCAAATACAATTATATCTCTTCAATATGATATATTTCAAAAACAATTTTTTGCACACATAGAAACAAATTTTGAAAATGGAACATTAATTGGAGAAATTGATACAAATAATGGAAATATTAAAGAAATTTGAGGAATAATAAATAATACTAAACGAACACATAAATCAAGTTATTATCTAATTTGTAGAAAATATTTTTTAATTATGATTGAAGATAAAGATTATATATATGTTGGTGTTAATACAAGTAATTCAGGTGGAGTTGATTGGAAATCAATAAGAAATTTTCCTCCTATGAGTATTAAATTTAATTATAAAACATTTACAATGTATGCAACATATATTAATCAAACTAATGGAATAACTTCTTCACTTGGAATATTAAATAGAACATTAGGTGGAATTAGTAAACTTGTTGGAATTATCTCTCAACATCCTAAGATTTATGTTACTTCACTTTCAGCATATGATGTCGCTCAAAATATATACTATGCATCAAAGCAATTAAGTTTTCCTTCTTATCCAGGTGTGTCTTATATTAATGTTAATACATCAGAGGAAAAATCTATTCTTCATACAAAAACTAAATATAATTCGTATGCATGGTTTGCCAAACAGTTCGTCCGCTAAACAATAATTCTTTTGATCTGTCGTTCTATTTTATATGAATAGAAAAATATATTAACTTTGATTTTGTAACTTTATTCGTATATCATTTAAATTTTTAGTTTATTTAATAACAAATTAGAGTGTGGATGTGGGTGTGGGCATAATGAGAGACACGTACCCACACCGGCACACAGACACCCACACCCAACACCGTCAAAATATGGCCCATCATTACATAGTACTATTTTGTATTTTTGAAGTTTCATTGGAATGCTGGTATTGTCTCAAAATTTTTGGAGAGGAAGAATCTTTACATCATGGATTTCTTTCAAAGCATTCACGAAAACACCTTGATAGAATGAATTTTACACTTAATAAGAATATCAAATGATTTCAAATAGTTCAATCAGAGAGATACAGTATTGATATGATTGAATAGAGCATCAATTATTAGATTGAACAACATAACGTTCCATAAGTATGTGAGCCTCACACGATAAATTTTTTCCTTCAATAAGATTCAAATCATTGAATAATTTTGAAATGTCGTCATTATCAAACAACGTAACTATGCTAATCTTTCTTATCGATAAATTGAAATAAACGAATTTGAAATCTATATATTATTTATTAAGAATAGAAACAAAATATAGTAACAATGTTGTCATATGAAACTTTTAGATTAAGTTTCAGTTAATTTATAGTCTTTCATGATTTCAGAAATTGTTTTCTTTGCTTCTTTCTCATTTAAATCTTTAATCGATTTTTCATAATCCAAATGATTTGATTTGTACTGAGCACCTTTCACCGCAGAAAGAGCATAATCAGGATTGGGATCACGTATTAAATTGAGTATCTCTTGAAATACAACCCGCATTGTTGTCTGAGGAGTCCATTTGCTTTGTAAAATATCATGACAGATGCGACCATCATCATTGATATTACAATGATAAATAGGCGTTATGAAACGTATATTAGGTGGCTGAAAAGGAAAGTGAGATGAAAATTCTACTGACAACAACCAATAATACCCAGCATATGATGTATCGTCAGGT